ATGCATGAGCAATTCCTCATTGTGGCTTGTTAATTAGTATCTTGTAATTAATTAAGTGTAGTTCCTTCACACTTGTAACAGCTTAATTAATTAATTTTGTGTTGTAATTACTTAATTGGTTCTAACTTGTAAATAGTTAGCTAGAATAGTTTATTCATTTATTTTGGGTATTGTAATAGTTAGTTAATTCGTAGTAATTAGCTAGGACATTTATTCAGGCCCTCTTGTGCAAGGGAAAGTTATAATAATTGTGTATGTCTTCCAACCCCCATTTCTTTCTCCCTTTTATTTACTCGCTTATGATGGATAGCATAGAGCATCATGTTTTTAATTAGCATTTTCCATGCTTTGCATCCATGTGTCTTGCATGCATAAAAGTTCAGCTCATCATTCTAACTCACATTGTTATTTATTACTTCTTTGAAAATGTGCTTAAACTGCATGCTATCAAATTGACTCACATGCCATGTTAGTAGTCGAGTATATTTAAATTGCATATTGCATGTGTTGCTTTAGTCACATTGCATTAGTTAGGGGCATGCATGTTTTCTAATTCTCTTGCTTTGTTTGGCTTGCCTCTGAGTACTAGGTGAGCACTTATTGCTTTGGCATATCGCATGTGTGTGAGTGTTGCCATATCAAGCATATCATCCATGAGGCTAAGTGCTTAAGTGATATGCTTGTTTGAATGGCTGTGGATGAAGGCTAATTGCTCAAATTTGGATAGTTTGATCAGATGTACATATGAGATCACTTTTTCAAGCAGTACATGTTCAAACAATTTTCAAAGAAACATAAGATCAAAGTGTTCCAACTTTTGCAAATTAGTCTATACTTGTGTGCATCACATAGTAAAATTTAGTCTAATAATCAGAGCAAGAGCATAAAATGGAAATAAGAATTATATCATGACTAGTAGAGGCCGATCTTTGATCGGGTGAGTGGGGTGCTCAATTCATGATCTTCCCCTCTTATACCTAAGTTCCCGAACCAAGACACTTTGGTGATGACGAATAAGTGGCCTTTGGCATGAGTCTCGGGTTTCCAAATTTTCCTAAAAAAATTTAGGTGGCGACTCTGTAATCTGGAAAAGCGGTCCATTTTTGGCATTTTTTATTCAAAATCAATTTTCCAAAAGATTTGTCAGATTTGGACTCATTTGTGTTTATCTATTTCACATTACACTTGTAAAATCAGATTCAGAATCACTGGAGTCCTGAACTGTAGTGCTATCGTATCCGAAAGGAGCACAAAAAGCAAGTTACAAGTACATGCCAGTTGAAACAAAAATAAAATGAAATAAGCAATTGAAAAGATTTATCACATTTGCCCATATCCATGTCATCATTAATCGACATTAAAACACCTTAATAGAAGTGATAATATCATATTAGTGAATACCGACTCATTGAATATTACATTAACTCCAATTAAAAGAATGAAGAAAGTAGTGTGGAACTAATATGTTTAAAAAAAAAAAAACTACTGCTGAGCCAATCGAATTCTAGCTGAACATTTTCTCTTATCATGCCCTCTCTGTAAACACAAACTGCAATGGTGTATTCGACTTTGTCTAGAGGTATCCATTTCGTTGTGGATGCGGCTATGTTAAGGATAACCCGTTTTAACCTGACGTTGTCTGTTTGGAATAGTAAGCAAAGTTGGGTAATCATCGTTAGGCTAATATTGCTTGTGCGGCATGGGCCTAAACTTATGCGCGAAGATATGCTTGTAGACTTCCAACCTATACTCTGGTGCAACTAAAGGAAAGGGTCCTTGCCCAAGTCTGTTGTCACAACAAGCATGTGGGAACATGGCAAGTGAAATAACGTGTACTTCCCACGCGAACAAGGCAGTGGTCGGAGACTAACTATTTGATGAGCACCACCCTCTATCCCATGCAGTGTCATGACCCAAACCTGCCCCTATGGATTAGGATCATAACCGACTAGTAATCATAAGATTACCTACGGCCTCAGGCAAAAATCAAGTCATAGTTAATAATAGGGGGCCAAAATGCGGAAGCAAAACTTGCAAAGATTGTCCAATGAGCTGTGCATACATGGCTTAACAAAAACTTTTTCTCATATGTGTAATATCTCACACCATACAAACATCCAGAATATGTTTATACATAAGTCCAGGATCATTCCAAAGTCAGTCTTATCAAAAACCAAGGTAATATACACACTTGGTCACATATGACCACAAAAGAAAACAAAAGGAAAACAAATCAAAAGTAAGGTCTCTTACGGGAGGCGACCTTGGTTGAAATCTCAAAACTTGGTTTCCTCACATATCACTGGGGCTGGGGCTGGACATCCTGTTGCTCGCCTATATACATATAAATAAAGAGTGAGCTAACGCCCAGTGAATAATACCAGAGTAAAGAGGTTAATGAATGAGATTTGTACATAAATAAATCATACTAATAATTTAAACATTTGAACTACTATTCTCTTTCATATCAGATTTATCGATCATTACAAGACAAAACAACCTTGGGTTCAGTACATCATAACCATATACAAAATGACCTCAGGTCCAACTCATATACAAAACAACCTAGGGTCCATCTATACAAAACAACCTTGGGTCCATCTATGCAAATCGACCTCAGGTCCAATACTCTCGTATTTATATTTATGCGCATAGTCATATTCGTGATCATGATCACATCCATATTTATATTCAAAATGACCTTTGGTCCATTTGATATGTAAGATAACCTTTAGTCAATCTTATTAAACATTTCAAACAACCTTGGGCCCAATCCGTACCCTTGTCAAATATACCAAACGGCCTTAGGCCTTGTATTCAAACATTAATTACTTTACAGATTCTATTTCGAATCAGCAGATAGAATACTAATTTATAGTACCAAATTCATAAGTGTAGAAACTTACCACATAGGTAACAATTAGAAAATAATACATACACAAAATATCTATAATAAGATATTACTCACAATGTTCAGATGCTTGATTCATCCTTGCAATTGACCCTACATAATTCACAACACATCGAGTCATAATACAATTCAATCCGTTATTTAGTTTGCCTAATTTTCTTACGCTTCTTTTGTGTTCTTTAATTCATTTAGGATGTTCAATGAGTGCCTAAGAATGCTTAGAAATGAAAGAGAACAAAAATTGAAGCATAAAATAACTTTTCAAAAGTTCCTGAAACAAGGCCCTTCGCTCGAGCGCAATTTGGTTGCTCAAACAATCTGCAAAGCTTTACAAAAGTACTGGTTGCTTGATTTTTAGGCTCAAGCCAACTTTTTGTCGCTCAAGCCATGAGTAGTGGAAAACAACGTTCGCTCGAGCGCAAGTGTTGCTGCTCGAGCCACTGTGCAATTCTCTATAAAACTTCAGGAGCTAAATTTTACACTCAAGTGACACTTTCTTCGCTAGAGCGAACTGGCCGAATTATGGAATTTCTAGAATTGTGTTTGAAGCTCAAATTTGCAATTCAATGGTTTAAAATTTGCATGGTTGGTACAAAAACATGGAAAAACATTATACAACATGAAAACATAGCTAATTTGGAACCAACTGTCCAAAATCATGGTCTATTTCACAAATCATTTCAAATTCTTCTTAATAATCCCAAAACTCATGCAATCAAGTCCCATAGCTTCATGGATTATGCATGCATGTGAAATATAGTCTCTAATTCCATTTCAAACGATACAAATGATGCCCAAAATCATGAGGCTCAACAAAATTATGCATGCATGTGTGATTTGGCACCAAATTCTTCATGTTAAGTTTGTATCTTACATTAATTTACCAATTTTTCTTGAATACACATAATTATGGACTTAAACTCATGAATTAGAGTTCAAATACTCACTTGGAGCCTTCAATCCTTCCAACTCTAGCAAATTCTTGTGCCTAGCTTCCCAAACCTTCAATCTCTAAGTCAATCCCTTTAACTAATTGCCTTTTTCTCTCTATAATGGCTCACACACTCTCTCTCTAGACTCCCCTTGGCTGAATTTTGAGCTCAAATATGAGTTTAAGCACCTTAATTAGCATATATATAGGCCTCATTAGTCTTATCGGCTAATTAAGCATAGGCTTAATCAAATAGCCTTATGTAAATCAAATAAATCTAATTATTTTGATTCGAATCAATTTTTAATTAAATTTCACCATAGGTTCTAAAAATTATGCTAATCACAATGGTATAATCAATTTTGGTTTTTGACGCCTCCACGACTCTCAATTTCAGTTTATAATAGGAAATACAACATGTTTCTCTATGGTGAATAGATATAACTTCAAATTCACATATAATTACATAACTAGCATCCAAATTCACATCAAGAACAAAATCACAAGTATAATTAACGATTACTAGTATATCACAGAACGGGGTTATCACATGCAGTGTTGTCCTCACCTCATATTCCTTTGTTCTCCTGCGGAAAAAATGTATATACATGGATTAATATGAATGGTTTGTTTAAATATGAAGGGTATGTTTAAATATAAACTAACATCAATGACTGACGAGTGCAAAATGATAATGTGTTGTGAATTTGGTGCATATAATGAAAATTACCTACTAATCGGTACCAACATATGGGCATTTGTATACAACTTACCCTTATTACTCGTATTTTCAGCAATGGTCTTGCCCTTATCAAAATATTTGACAAGCCAATAAAAAGTTATCTTAACTAATGTTGTAATCGAGACACTACATGCACCTTTGAGTACACCATTGAAGCCCTCTATATGGTTTGTCATCAATATGCCCCAATGACAACCACCATCACGGCACAATGTCTAATGAATAGGGTTCATCTGACTAAACCACCATTTAACATGCTTCTCTAGCTTGTAGATATCCTCCATAACCTTGTTAAACTTCCGCACTTGCCATGCAGAACCAACTCTCCACACAAGATCCTTGGCTACTATATTGCTGAATCATTCATTGAAATTGCTACATACGTGTCGCAAGCAATACCTATGGTAACCTCTTGGTTACACTGCTGGACTGTCACAAATTCTGGACATGACACTAAGCAAAGCCCTATGTCGATCAAATATCAATGTCACCCCCTCTTGGTCACGACACACATGTCGCCTAAGGAGAGTAATGAACCAACCCCAACTCTCGATCATCTCCTTGTCAACAATGGCAAAGGCAAGAGGTGTAATCTTGTCGGCAACAGTCACTGTAGTGGCCGCAACAATCTTGCCTTTGTATTTCCTGTACAAGTGTGTGTCGTCAATGCATATCATGGGACGACAGTACTTGAAGCCTTCTATTGCTAGTTTAAATGCCCAGAACACACAGTTCATGTACATTTCAGTTCTGAATGAGCTAGACAGCAATTTCGGAACCATGTCCCACATGACAACTGTGCCTGGATTGAATGCCTGCAATGCATCCATAGATCTAGGCAACCTTAGGTATGACTCGTCTGAATCCCTAAACACCATTGTAACAGCATTCGTCCTTGCAAGCCACACTTTCTTATATGAGATCGTGAAGTGAAACTTCTTCTTCACGACCTCAATTATGGTAGCAAGAGGAAATTCTGGTGATATCTGCAAATAGAAATTATATTTTAATATATTCAACTCATAATTAAATCCATAAAAAATGAAATAACATGTTTCTTACCGCAATCTGTCCCTTGATGAAATGAGCAATGAGCTTGCGTACACACACTGATGCGGCCCTTCAAACCTTCTAATTTGAAAGAAATCTTTGTCTTTCAACTTCATTGCCTGAACCCTCCAGTTACAATCATGCTTGCACTCGGCCACCCAACTATTTCCTTTGGATTCTACAACCTTGCATTCTCGATTGCACTTCAAGTTAAGCAACTGAACATCATGCACCAAGCCTTTCTTATCAGTGAAAATCATTTTTTTCTCCAATTGAGCAATTTCAAAGTCCCATAATGGCCAATGTTCAACAACATTGCAGCTTGTGATGGAACCATCATTGTTGAAATGCACATTATGGTAGAAAGGGATATTTGGGTGTAAGTCCTACATATCATCATGCCCTTCAACTTCATCATCACCTGAGCCATTGTCTTCACCTTCCATTACAGCATCAAAATCTTCCACAAAATCTTCATCATTTACTCCAGCCTCATTATCAAATGGCACTGTATTATAAAAAAAAGCATAAATTTGAACAGTCGTCTCTGTTGTACATTGAACATTAAAAACCGGTGGACAATCTTCAGTCCAGTAGGGAGATGGGGTTATACGAACCATCGGATTATACATTGTCGGAGCACTTGGACCTAGTCTGGCATTGTAATAACCATCCAGGTTTTGTGATGCATTGAATTGAGTGTAACTTTGAGAACAATTGAATGGAGGGTAATCTTGAGGAAACACATGTGGAGACTGTACAAGTGTATTGTCGGGGGATTGCGATTGTATCAGCATTTGAGTGAATGTCCTCCCTACTGGTATTGGCATCTGTGTGCCACCAAAATTTCTCTCATTCTCCACATAGATTTCCAAAATAAAAATTAGGCCCTAATTTTTGTAGGAGATCTACGACATTAGTTAAGGTCTCATTATCGTTGATTGGCAACAACCTATACTTCCCCCGACATGGGATCTAAGACATTAGTTAAGACCTTATTATTGGTGAACAACTTGATACCTAGAGAATGAGTTGATGAACATTAATAGTGCAATCTGATAACGCGAAGAAGACGAAGATGTGAAGAACAATTTGATAACATGAAGAAGACGAATGCCACCGTGAAAACAAAGACCACCACCAAGAGGAGCAACAAACATCATCGCACCTCTCCCTCTTATCGTCCACATTGAGGTTTGTTTCCAGAAATTAGGGTTTTAATTTTTGATTTGGGATTTTCAGTTTCCAAATTTCTGATTTTTGAAATTAGGTTTTTGATTTTGATTATGTAGTAATAGTTAAGTAGATCATCTCAATTTTGCTCCATATGTTGTTTTTTAGTTTTTATTTTTTCATATCAAAGTCTGCCTAAATGAGATCTACTGTGGACCTTGCAACCTATTAAATCTTATAAAAATTCAATGTGACAATCTTACAAAACTATTCAATCTTACAAAACTAGTCTAAAAATTGAATATAACAAATAACCTGTCCATTCATTGCACAACATCATTTTTGTAAAATATGCGAAACCAAATAATTAAAGTAACATTCATTCTAAGCAAATAATTTCATATCATACACAATAACCCACCCAGCCTAAGGAAAATATCCACATTGAGGTTTGTTTTGCATAAATTAGGGTTTTAATTTCTGATTTGGGATTTTGAATCTCGAAATTAAGAATTTCTGAAACTAGGGTTTTGATTATGATGAGTATAAGAAAAGGTACAAATTTTCTTATTCATAAGATCTGCTTTGCAGCTAAGATCTACTTTGATAAATGTTTAACAAAATAGACATCTTCCTATTAGTCACACAATCGTTTGTGAAAGATGTATAGATTTGTTTCCAAAAAATGTGGCAATTTTTTTTCTTCATATTATGTATTTGATTTTAAATGGTTGCCATTATTTTATTTTCTTTCCAAATGATTTTATATCCATTTTGATTATAAGAAAGTTAAAAAATGAAATTAAATTTGTCGTGTTTATATTTTGAGAAGGCAGAATAATTTTTATTCTTGATGGAAACATTTATTGTTGTTGGAAGTTGAACTTTTTATACTATTGTTTGAAATTGAACAATTGTGCCCATGCTTAGCTTTCAAACTGAAGAGTAGGTAAACGCTCCTCAATTTTTCATGTGCTTATTGCATTTGGAATGCGTTATTATGTTATAATACATGTATTTCATTGTGAATGAAGATGTAAATGACAATGTTGTGGGTTTCAAATTTGTTGACACTAGGTTCTACATATACCACTCACTTTAAATATCTTTTTTCACTTTCTATTAGGCATTATAATCAAATGTCATATACTGACAGTTCAACCATGAAAATTAGTTTCCTAATGTGCTTACTTTATTATTTTGAATAAATTGAGTTACTTTGAGTGTAAAGTGTTGGTATGGAAGTTGTGAGAATTATGTTCTATTGGGGAGGAGGGAAACATTTGCGAAATCACGAGGAAGGTGTGTCATACGACACCGAAGCACAAGGGTTGTATAATGTGCACATAGGGATAACATTGGGCGAGTTAGAGGCTATGATGGTTCCCAAGGTCGGTACGTATGGGAAAATAATGCGATTAAAGTTTAAATGTAGACTCCCATGTTAGGAGAAGTATAAGTTGTTGTCAATCAACGATAATGAGACCTTAACTAATGTCTTAGATCTCCCACAAAAATTAGGGCCGTTTTTTTTTTTTTTAGAAATCTATATGGAGAAGGAGAGCAATTTTGGTGGCACACAGATGCCAATTTCGGTGGGAGGGACATTTGCTCAAATGTTGACACAATCGTAATCCCCTGACAATACACTTATACAGTCTCCACACGTGTTCCCTCAAGATTACCCTCCATTCAATTCTTCTCAGAGTTACACTCAATTCAATACATCACAGAACCTGGATGGTTGTTACATTGCCAAAGTAGGTCCAAGTGCTCCGACAATGTATAATTCGATGGTTCATACAACCTCATCTCCTTACTGGACTGAAGAACGCCACCGATTTCTAATGTTCAACGTACAACGGAGACAACTGTCCAAATTTATGCATCATCCAATAATACAGTGCCATTTGATGACGAGGTTGTAGTAAATGATGAAGATTTAGTGGAAGATTTCGATGCCGCAATGAAAGGTGAAGACAATGACTCAGGTGATAATGAAGTTGAAGGGCATGATGATATGCAGGACCTACACCCAAAATCCCTTTCTACCATAATGTACATTTCGACAATGATGGTTCCATCTTAACCCACGATGTTGTTGAATGTTGGCTATTATGAGAATCTGAAATTGCTCAATTGGAGAAAGGAATGATTTTTAGTGATAAGAAAAGCTTGGTACACACTGTTCAGTTGCATAACTTGAAGCGCAATCGAGAATGCAAGGTTGTAGAATCCAAAGGAAATAGTTGAGAGGTCCAGTGCAAGCATGGCTGCAACTGGAGGGTTCGGGCAACGAAGTTGAAAGACAAAGATTTCTTTCAAATTAGAAGGTTTGAAGGGCCGTATCAATGAGTGTACCCAAGAATGAATAGGGACAATTGCAACCTCAAGTCCGAGCTCATTGCTCATTTCATCAAGGGACAGATTGTGGAAAGTAACATGTTATTTCATTGTTGAAGGATTTAATTATGAGTTTAATATATTAAAATATAATTTCTATTTGTAGATATGACCAGAATTGTCTCTTGCTACCATAATTGAGGTCGTGAAGGAGAAGTTTCAGTTCACGATCTCATATAAGAAAATATGGCTTGCAAGGACGAAAGTTGTTGCAATGGTGTTTGGGGACTAGGATAAGTCGTATCAAAGGTTTCTTAGATATATGGATGTATTGCAGGCATTCAATCTAGGCACAGTTGTCATGTGGGACATGGTTCCGAAATTGTAATCTAGCTCATTCAGAACTGAAATGTACATGAACTATGTGTTCTGGGCATTTAAACTAGCAATAGAAGGCTTCAAGTACTGTCATCCCGTGATATGCATTGACAACACACACTTGTACGGGAAATATGAAGGTGAGATTGTTATAGCCATTGCAATGACTGTTGCCGACAAGATTATACCTCTTGCCTTTGCCGTTGTGACAAGGAGATGATCGAGAGTTGGGGTTGGTTTATTACTCTCCTTAGAGAACATGTGTTCCGTGACTGAGAGGGGGTGACACTGATATCCGATCGATACAGGGCTTTGCTTAGTGTCGTGTCTAGAATTTAGGATAATCTAGCAGTGCAACCAAGAGGCTACCTTAGGTATTGCTTGCGACACATATGTAGTAATTTCAATGAAAGATTCGGTAATACAGTAGCCAAGGATCTTGTGTCGAGAGCTGGTTCTGCATGGCAAGTGCGATAGTTTAACAAGATTATGGAGGATATTTGTAAACTAGAGAAGCATGCTAAATTGTGTTTTAGTTAGATAAACCTTATTCGTTGGACATTGTGCCATGATGGTGGTTGTCATTGGGCCATATTGATGATAAACCATATAGAGGGCTTCAATGTTGTACTCAAAGGCTCATATAGTGTCCCAGTTACAACATCAGTTGAGATAACTTTTTATCGGCTAGTCAAATATTTTGACGAGGGAAGGACCATTGCGGAAAATACGAGTAATCAGGGTAAGTTGTACATAACTAATGTTCAATGATGGATTGACGAGCACCAAGCTAAAGCGAATGTCTATATGTTGGTACCGATTAATAGGTAATTTTCATTGTATGCACCAAATTTACAACGCATTATCATTTTGCACTCGTTGGTCATTGATGTTAGTCTATATTTAAACATACCCTTCATATGTAAACATACCATTCATATTAATCCATGTACATACATTTTGTTTTCGCAGGGGAACAAAGAAATATGAGGTGAGGACAACACCGCATGGGATGAGGGGTGGTTCTTGTCAAATAGTTAGTCTCCGACCACCGCGCTGTTCATGTGGGAAGTACACATTATTTCACTTGCCATGTTCCCACATGCTTGCTGTGATAGTAGTGTAGACGTGCCCGAACGTCCCGGCTCCGCGCGCGAAGGCGCAAAATCTGTTTTGTTCATTTGCTACTATAGTTCGGACTCAAATGTCACGGTTCTGAATCTAATCCCACAAAGTGCAATGCAAGACCGATAAATCACCAAAGAGTCCAAATCTAGCAAATCGTTTTGGAAAACTGATTTTTGTAAAGAAGTACCAAACATGGACTGCTTTGCCAGATACGGAGTCGCCACCTAAATATTTTGTT